AGGGACTGGGTGAAGGCAGGACCCTGAAACCCCAAAACCACGCTGGGATGGCCCAAGCTGAGTCCACATGGGTTTTGGGGTATCTGTGACAAAGCCTGGAGCAAAGGGCTGTGTTTTGGGGGAAGGTGCTGAGCTGGGCTTTGCTGGCCCATCTTTGGGGAGGGCCAGCCCCAGCGGAGGACTCTGGCAGGGGCCGGGCGAGCCGTCCCACCCACAGCATCCCACTCACCACCTCTTTGCTCTTGGTGGCACCGGGGTGGCCCAGGTGGGTCTTGACAATGAGGCAGGCCTCCCGCATCCTGGGGCTCAGCTCAAACCTGGGGAGAGCACGAGGGCATCTGCGGCGCGGGGCTGTGTTGCCCCACCAAAACCAGACTGGCAAGGGGCACCCCGAGTCCCCCTGTGGAGGTTTTGCTCCTTTTCCCGATGCCTGCAAGCCTCCACAAGCTCCCCATGGTGCAAGGTCCAGCCCAGTGGTTGCACCCTAGCAGCTTCAGCCTCTGCAACCCCCCACTGAACCAAGCCTTATACGGACGCGCTCAGGCACGATTTACCCATTTTTAGGCCAAATTTTTTCCTTTTGTTGAAAAATGCCATTAAGGGCTGTTGGTTTCCCCCCCCGCCCTCCAAACTATTTTCTCCAGCAAAGAGGCATCTGGGGCCTCAGTCTCATCCTTCCCTTAGCAGACCCAAGAAGCTGGAAGGATTTTTTTCCTGCCAAGCAGTTTCTGCAGGAGTTGAATGTTTTTTCCCATCGGCTGCACTGAAACCTGGGGCAGATGCCCCGAGTCAGCAGGGCCGGTGCCAGCCCGTGGCTCCCAGCTGCGCGGGGCGAGGGAGCCTCCCCCATCAGCACTTACTTCTCCTTCACCTCAGGGGGCTCCGGCAGGGTCATGCCAGCCCCCTCGTGCTCCCATCCTGGCTCGCACTCGCCTTCCCTGGCCTCCTCATCTGAGGTTTCAGTATCCCCCTGCTCCTCGCTGTCGGAGCTGTCAGCCGAAGCCTTCTCAGAGGAGCTGTCTCCTTCCTCCTCCTCGCTGGATGTGCTCTCGTACCTGCACAGAGGGAGGATGCTCAGTGGCAATGCAGCACCCAGCTGGTCCCCTCCAGGCCCCCCATTGCCACTGCCCCCAGCCCAGGACAGGGATGCTGGGGGCCGGGCCTGGCTCAGGGGGGTGGCAGGAGCCCCTCGGCACGTACTCCCCGTTCAGCACGCCCACAAACTGCAGGCTCTTCTTGCTGCCCTCGGCCTCACTCCGCGGGGGACCGTCCCGCTTCTTCATGATGGACTTCAGGGCTCCTGGGGGCAGAGAGATGGGTGTCAGGGGCCAGCGGGCAGGAACCTCTCCACGGGGCTGCCCAGGCACCCTAAACCCACCAGACCCCAGGGCAGGCATGGGAGGGATGTGGGCAGAGTGCAGGCAGCCGCTGTGACACAGGTAGCGTTGGCCCTGCAGGCGCTGTCCCCAACAGGGCCTCCCTCTCCCTTCCCACAGGAACATCCCAACCCAGACCCTGCTGTCGTCCCCGGCACCAACTCACCAGCCGCAGGACTCGGGGCAGCTCCGCCATCCCGCACTGGGGACGTGTTCCGGCTGCTGTGCGTCGTCTCTGGCACGGCTGCCCCAGGGGCTGGGCTGCCCTGGCACGTCCCCCCCATTGCTCCTGCGCCCTGTGCCGAGGGGCTGCTCAGTGCATTGCCCGCACTGGGCTCTGTCTCCTCGCCTGCTGGGACAGCGCTGTCCATGTCGGTCTGGCTGCCCTTGTCTTCGCACCTGGCAGCCGAATCAGGGCCGACTGCCACGTCCCGCCCATCGGGGCGGCAGCCCACCCCAATGGAGGTGGTTGGTGGGCAGCACTCCACGCCTGCCTCTGCCCTCCCTG